ATTTTGAATTTGTAAACTGTCATTGCAACAGACAGTTGACATTGTGCTATGGAGGAAACAATTTGTATCACTCTTGCTACAGATATACAGTAGAGCGTCGGTTATCCGAAATGTCTGTTATCCGAAAGAATTCCAGTAGGCAAATTTAAATTTTCGCCAGTGCTGTGGCGCTGCAATCTTTGGTTATGTCTTGGGCGACTCGAATATTTTACTTTTTTGATACTAAATTAACTTCTGAAGTATAATTTTTTATTGTTTTCATATTTTTCAATATATTTATTTTGTTCGTACAAAATAAAAAAATAATTTTTAACGATACAATACTTTTCGTTAGGCTTAACATCGACGGAAATTCAACGCGAAGCGACACGCAACGGAGAAAAATTTCAAGATGAGGTTAATTAATATATTTTTTCGTACATAATCGGTTACCCGAAACATTGATCTTCCGAACAATCCGTCCCCAATCGATTCGGATAATCGATGCTCTGCTGTAATTTGTAATCTGGAATTTTTTGCATACCTTTTTAATACGTATTTAATTGCGGCTCGCAAAAAATTTCAAATTTTGAAAAATGGCTCGGACTATTAAGGAGCTTGGCCACCGTGGTTATATATAGGCTTACTTGTGGCCCAAAACTCCTTGACTTTTTCCAATGCGGCCCAGAGAAACAAAAAGGTTGGACACCCCTGATTTATACATTTACAAATACAAAATGCATTTTTCAGTGTTTTCCTTACTATAATTATTTTTTTCCAATGTACTACTTAGCTTTAATTTGAGTGTGTTTTTCGTGTTGGAATGAATTATTTGGTTTTACATGTAATCGTATGGGGAAAAATGATTCACCTTACGACATTTTCATGATACGATCTCAGTTTCGGAATGGATTAATTTCGTATCCTGAGGTACCACTGTATATCGACACTGTTGTAAATATCACTCTGATGATACAAATTAAGTAAATTATCAGTTTTTTAGTAGATTTTTAACGACAGAACAAAAGACACAAAACACGTGGTCGAGGTCAACATGGACATCAGGGACAAGGTAGGAGAGACATTTTTTCACTTCACGTTAATTGACTTTTCCAGTCGACAGCTGTGCAATCTTGGATTTAAATTATATATCGACGCTATTGTAAATATCGCGCTGCTGATACAAATTAAATAAATTATCAGTTTCTTAGTAAATTTTTACTGACAAAACATTCACCGAAAATGGCTCGTGGATGACCTCATGGTCGAGGCAGGCAAAGTTTTAATGATCGCGCCCAAAAGCAGCGATATCAAAGAAGATAGGAGAATGAGAACGAGACCTGCCTTAAGCATCAAAGTGATTCCGTCTCCGAGACATAGTCTTGTCCCAAATACGGTTTTGCCGTTTTACTTGTTTTCTGTTATTTTTAGGTCCCCCCTAGGTAGATCACATTCTCAACACTCAAGAGATAAACAAATGCTCTTAGGCAACAAAGTAATTTTGACTGTTAAATATAATACACTGTTTAAATAATATTCCTTCATTCCTACCATTACAACTAATAAAAATCATATAAAATGAGACAACCATAAATTTAAATTAATGCTAGTAATGCATCGATTTAAAAATAATGTAAAATGTTTCATGTTTTTTGCAGGTTATGCAAAACTGTGAAGAATTATGCAAATTCATGCCAAACTTTACAATATATAACACTGTATGTACATATTTTAAAGCCAAACCAATATAAAGCTAGCTTGTGCAAGTGTTATCATAAAAAAATTTATTAAAAAAATAAATTCTACATCAACTACGATGAAATATATAGAGTATAGAATTAAAATTACTTTTTCATTATAATTATTTTAAAATATTCTATTCCTGTACACTATTTTTATTTAAAAATGTTTAATAATAATTTATAAATATTGTAAAGTAATATATTAGATAAATATGAACTCACTTAAACTTTTAAGCTGATTCATTGATGGTAAATGGAGTTGAGAGTGCTTTTGAAGAAAAAATATAATCATGAGGAGAAGAGAAAAGTTAGTGATTTGTGCATTGGGAACATCTGAAGTCAATTTGCATTTTCTTGCCCACCTTCTGATTGTATACACTAATGGTCTAACATGGGGATCCAATTCTCCATAAGTGAAGAGAAATTCAGCCATGTCAATTGCATTTCTATAAAATTTTAATATAATTTTAACAGAACTGATTTTGATATATTCTAACTTAAATGAAAAATACTCAAAATAAATACCATCAAAATATAATAAATAAGACAAATAATAAAGTTGCCTTACATTTACAGAGTATATGTAAATTAATTTTAAATGATACCATTTTAAATTACTATAATTATGTTAATTATTGTCTGAGAAGTACTCATCTCTCATCTGCATTCAAATTACTTGTCTACCTCTAGAAAATGCCATACATAAACATGGCAATTCCAAAACAGAAAAGGCATTTTGTGTTCTGCAGTTTACAAAGTTGGAATCGCTCATCATTGTGCAACATGAATAATCTGTAGGAGTTGTAGAATTGTGGTTGCAGAAGTATTGACAACAGATATGCTGTAGCAAGTGTAGGAAAAATTTGAGTATCAATTGGATATGTACTCTGTGATACAAGGTGTACACACTGAGAAACTGAAATGAGCAAATATAAAACTTTGACAGTTTTCCCACGTTCCAATGTACATTACAATGTTATTGGATAATAATTAACATAATTACCATGATATAACATGGTAGCATTCTTTTTGGAAGACCTGTATTTTACAAAAGCTATTATAAATAAGCAAATAAATTCTGATATAAATATTATAAATGTTTCATTAATTTTCTCACTGATCAATTAAATTATTCATACTTTTAAACTTATAGTAAATTTTTATATCAATATTCATACTTTATTTTTCTTTATTTTGATTTGAATATCTTTAATTTAAAATAAGAATCATCTGAAATTTGATATACAAAGTTTCTCCAATAAGTATCAAGAGTCAAGTCATAAAAAATAGTTTATTAAAGATACAGTAGAGCATCATTTATCCGAATCAATTGGGGACTTAGATTGTTCAGATAACTAATTTTTCAGATAACCGAATATGTATGAAAAAATATATTAACCTGTCCCATTATGAATTTTTTCTATGTTGCGTGTTGCTTTTCGTTGAATTTTCGCCAATGTTAAGGCTAATGTAAATATTTTAAAATAATAATCGTGGTTATTTTATTGTTAAAAATTATATCTTTATTTTGTATAAACAAAATAAATATATTGAAAAATATAAAAACAAAAAAATTATATTTTGGAAGTTAATCTAGTATCAAAAGTTTGATTCAGCATGACACAGTCAGACTGGAACGCTTTTGGTTAATCAACATTTCGATTGATCGGCTATTGGATAAATGACGCTCTACTGCAGCGTTTTTCAACCTTCTTGAATATGCGGCCCCTTTACAAGTTAAAAAAATTCTGCCGACCCCCTAGGGCCATATTACAACTATATCAGTGATTTTAAAATCTATGTATTTAATTTTCTTTCTGTTGAGACAAATTATTGTTGATTGAAATAAATATTTCAGGAGAATCAACAATAATTTAACACACAAAGTATGAAACTTCCTTTAATTATAACATTAAGACACAGGGAACTGTTGACCTTTTTTTCTTTTAGAATCTGAATTTTCAGCTTTTACTTTTCTACTTTTTATTCCCTTTTGCAAATCAGCTGAAAATTTTTTCTGCTATCATTATCTGGGGTGGGCTGTAATTCTCGCTGGAATTGTAGTATTTCTAATGTAGTGTAGGACCTACAAACACTTGTCTTTTTTCTTCTACCCGCGACCTCCCGTGTAAGGCTTCGCGACTCCCCTGGAGGTCGCGACCCACAGGTTGAAAAACACTGCTCTACTGTATATGTACAGTGTGTTAATAATCTTCAAAATATGACCCTCCTGCATAAATACACCACTGCCAGTACTTTTTCCAGATTCCATACACCCCCTGAAAGTCAGCAACTGAAAGACTATTCAGGCACCCCATCAAAGCCACTTGGACCACCTCAACTGCCCAAAAACAATGTCCTTTTGGGCACCTTTTGATCCAAGGAAACAAAAAGAAGTCAGAGGAACCGCATCTGGACTGTAGGGTGGTTGGGGCAGTGTTATCACATTGTGTCTGGCCAATGCCTCCCTCACAATTAGTGACGTGTGACTGGACGTGTTGTCATGATGAAGCATCCAGATGTTGATGATCTCAATGTAAGGAACCAAGTCCGAACGTTATTTTTATTTACTTTTATTTTGCTTATTATTCTATTTTTGTTTGGGGCTTATGTTTTGTTAGGACGAAGGTTTCCTCACCATTCACCTTAGTAACTTAAAAATAGAAAAGAAACCAACTCACCGACGAAAGAAAAGCGCCGTAGAAAAACTTGCGCACACTTGCGCTTCCCGAGCGGAAAAAATAAGTCCACACCGAGAAAAGGGGGGAGACCCCACAAGCACGAATTAGGGACTCGCTAAACCTTAAAGAATAAAAAAACGTCCCAAAAATTGTGAAAAAGAATAATGTAAAAGGTTAGAGAGTATTGTCGGAAAATAACCTGCCAGACAAACGAAAAAAGTTTATTGTTAGCGTTAAGTATGTAAATGAGGAGAGTGATCTCATTCAGAATTGTGACGTCACCTCACACTATAAATCCCGAGTCTCAAGTGAAGATGAACGAGGTGAACTCCTGATAGCAACGAGCTTTGGTGAGCTTCGTAGCAGTGAACGAGAGAGGTGTCCGATAGGATCAAATAGTTCCAAGGCGATTTTGAAGTTATTCGATTTATGGATCGACGATTATAGAAAGTCTTGAGAGTTTGAGGAAATAGGTTCCTAGTATGATTAGGATCTTTAATTTATAAGAAATATTGTTTATAAGTTAAGTCTTTGATTTTTGTCAAATTCCAAAGAGGAATAGAATAAAGTTAGAAATAGATTGATTTGAGTTTGTCGGGTTGATTCTTGTTGAATTTCATTGAATAAATTATTGTTTGATTTTTACTAATTACTGTATATAGTTTATTACTAGAAGTTTAATTAAATATTTGATTTTTGTTACTGACAAACTTTGTCATTATTTAATTCGGTGCACGCTTAAAGTCCAGGCCTGGCACACTAACGCAAATCCGCGTAAAGTACCCGTTAGGGAACGGCTATTTCTGGCACACAGTAGTGTCGATAATCGTTGGAAAAGTCGGAAAAATAATATAGTACTTTACATCCCTTCAGATTCAGCAAACTCTAATCCTCAAATGTTCAAGCACTTCAGCATAAAATTTACTGTTCACCGTTTGCACAAACTCTTTGTGGACCACAACTTTTGCATCAAAGAAAACAATAAGCATTAATTTTTCACTCTTGATTTGCTCATGCAGGCCTTTTTTGATCCAGAGATCAATTCACTCCTTGTGTGCCACTTAGCACTTTGGTCTTTGGATCTTGTTACGGAAAGATCTGGCAACACCAGAGAGAGAGTGGCACGTGCAAGATGGACGGCCCTGTTTAATGTACGCGACTGGAGATCGTCTGGTCCAAGTAGAACCCTGAATAAAGTATTCAGAGTAAGTGTTTGCATTCCTGTCTTACTGGGGGTCTTAAGTGCGTCACAAACGGCGTGTAAACACAAAGAAAACCATATAAAACAGATCTTACTCGAAAATCCAAGTTCCATCACCAGTTATCGCTTTTACCGAAAGATTTGGATCTGTCTCCAAATGTTTCAACAGTTCATGACAAATCGTCACACAACATTCCTTCTGCTCATCTGACAAAACGTATGACGCACACCGTCCACATTTGCAAATCATCAGTCACAATTGAATGCACAGTGGATTTCACTAAATTTAACCCCTGTGCTATCAAAAACATTTAACCGGCAATACTTATAAGCCTCAAGGCCAAAACACTGCTTGATGCACTGCATCTCGACTCTCGACACAAACAGTAAATGAACTTTCATTTCGGGCATAATCTACACACTCCAAAAGCTCAAAGATAACTGAGCCAGGTCTTGCAGCTTATGTGACATCCCCACCATCGAACCCACCCATAGAAACCGAACTCCACCACTTCCCATTGACAGGAAAAAATCAGTCCTGATACTTATTGGGCAAACCCTGTATGTGTTAAATGTTTAAAAAAGTGAGACTTTACTTGTTACTCATTGATAAATCGCACCAGATTCCGGTTATCTCATGCTGAAATTTCAATATTGGAACACGAGCTTTCAGTATTCGCACCATATGAGACACACCAGGAACAAATATTTGTAAGAGGTCGGCAAATGTTTCTAGAGTACGTTGTAACTGCGCTCTATCATTTGTCAACATCGGTTTAGGAAGAAAACATAACGGGGTCTTTGTTTCTCTCTAAAAGTTAATTGAAACTAGTAAGTAAATAATCATTATTAGTAGTAAAAGTAATTGATAGGAATCAAACCTGTTCATTGCATAGTTGTAAATTGATATCCAAGTCACCAGAATAGCAACCAAATCCATTCACAGCAGAACCAAATGGCAAGCATAAAGCATGAGGAAATAATCCACTTACGCAATCTTCTATTAACGAACAAACAAAAAACCTCAGTCTGATATCTAGATCCGAAAGCTGTTCACACCTTTTTAATTCTAACATTTGATGCGTAATCTATAACATTTTATAAAATCCAGTTGAAAACTTTTATATTAAAACTAAATGTTAAGACATCTAAACAATTTAAAAAGTTTCAATATTTTAACTTACATCATTTGCATCTAATAGAGTCTTCATAATTATGTTTTCTGAAGGAGCAGATAATATATCACAAGCTATTGCTAAACTATTTTCCTTATCTACGCTTCTATTATTAAATTTTAAAATCCTAGAATAAACTGGTATTGCGTCCGTTTGTAGATATTTACATTCATCTAGTAAAAACCTCATGTGAGTTGGATTTTCACATTCAATCAGAAAATATTCCTGTACAAATATATATTCAAAAATAATTCTTAAATTATTTTATATAAAAATTAAAACTCTTTTAATATTGAAAATTAACATGAATAAAGTAACCTTTTCAGAACTTGTTTTTTGATACAATATCTTCTTAGGTTTGGTAAATTTTTCTATTTGTTGACATAAATGAAACAAAGAATAATACGATTTAACTTCAACCATGATGCTTGAACGTGCTCGTTGTCTATGCTCTAAAAGCATGTTGTTATAACTTTTCCCTTCAGAATGAAGTTCTGGTGATTCCGTAGGCAATGATGAACACACTACAATGGGTAAAAAAATTAATGCTTAAAACAAAAATCTTTAAGCATTTATGTTTTAAAAAATATTACTATGGGAAATCCTCATTAGTTCGAAATTCAAGAGATGAAATAATTGTGACTTTGAATTATTCAGTTTTGAATTATCCAAGATTTAAACATTTCTGTACAGTATGCCAAAAGCAATGGCAAAGTATACAGAATACTATTTTCCTTAATTAATAACAATAATATAAATAAACAGCAGGTACACATGACACATTTAGTGAGACCTTAACAGATTGGCAGATAGATTTTATAAAAAGTAAAGCAGAATTCCTCAAAACATAGTCCAAATTATATTTTAAAGTGGCCCAAAAAATAGGTAAGTTGTCGAAATCTAGAAACCTAGAGCCTTATACTACGTTTGCACACAATCCATGACTCACTTAGATCTCGATTTACGTACAATCTGGATTATGACTGTCACCAGTTGAACGTCGTGCTGTTCGCACAGGCAATCCACTCGAGTAAAACCCGGCTATTACACGTGATGATAAAACTGACATAACTAAGTGGTAAGTCACGAACACCAACAAACAAAATGAAAATTTTGGTTAGAAATAAATACAGAACTTTTTCTTGCCATATATCTAATAATAGACAGATGTCATTGTCTCTCCAAATACAGTATCTTTTTTATTTCTCTGTTGATAGCCCGTGTTCCGCAGCCATCTTGTATTTTCTCACAAGCATGGGATTGTGGAATCTCTCTTATGAGTGGATCTAGTTTCAAGAACTCTCGAGTCAATCACAACTGAACCTCCTTTCAATCAAGATTGAAACGGTCGAGAAAGATCACACCAAGGCATTGTTACTGACCTTGGTCACAATCTAGATTGAAATGCTTGGTGCAAATGAGGTATTACAAATATCTCAATCTACTACTTGTAGCCTGATCTTGCAATTCCTAAAACCAGCCATATTTTATTAGATAAGACATAAAAGGATAGTCCAAGCATAAGGTGACACTCGTAAATGTGTTACTGTAAAAGCAAAGCAATATTGACAAGATTAGAGTTGTTTATGGTCTATTGTTCTCTTACAGAACGGAGGCACTTTGATCTAAACCAATGTTTCCCAAAGCGGTTCCCTGTGAGTCCTTGGAACCGCTGATGGGGTCCATTGCAAATTAAAATTAATTTGAGGGTGCAAAAGCAATGCCAGCGGGTCTGTGAACATTATAATAACTAGCAAAATGATTGTGACCCATTTTCATTATTATGAAAGTTAAAAATAAATCGGTAGTTGTTTTTATATCCTGACTGAACTTTAATTACAGAAGAAACATTTATTGCTGGAAAAGTACAAATAATGTTTTCATTTGATTTTATCATCAAATGTCAAATTATTTATCCAAAAAAATTGTTTATTAAAAAAACACTTATCAAAAATGATATTAAAAATAGAAAACAACCTGTTAACTGTGTTTTACTTAAAATTTACATATCGATTAAGTACTTAATAGTTATTTTTATGTAATAAATGTAATTTTTAATTTTAACTATATTAAATTAAAATTTAGAACAAAGTTCTTTTTAATTAAAATATGCAGTTTATTTTATATATTTTTATTATTTGTTTTTTATAATCATCTATAGTTTTTAATATATGAAAAATTTTATTCTTCTATCTATTAAATCTATTTAATTACTAAAAATATATAAATAATTGATTTATTTTCATTAAAAGTATGTTTTTCTAAGAAAATTCAATAAATAAAATTAAAAACTTATTAATTTTTGTATTTTTCTAATGTAATTTATAACCCAATTAATTACTACATTTCACTATACCTTTAAAATGCAGTCTACTTTTGTCAGTTCTCTAACGTTTTCGGTCTAATTTATAGACCTTCTTCAGGATTGATGTAAAATATTTTAAAAATTTGAACTTTCTCAACGGTAATTCGAACCACGCACGTTCTATAATCTTCAGATATTCGATCGCGCATGTCCATTAGCTCTTTATAATGCCGCCGCTCTCCATGCCGTTGCTATTCTACTTGACTCTCGAAAATTTATATTAAGCCCCTTTTCTCTGTATTTATAAATGTGCCATGCCTCTGCATACTTTAGATGTCGTATATTATCGATCTTTTGTACAATATCCGCCTTGCTCCATTCGATTGTAATCTCTGCAGGATCCGCGATAGCATAATTGGCCAAAGCCGTGATCGGTTGTTTAGATCTTATATTTTTTTCGTGCTCCTTCAATCTTTCTCTTAATGATCTCTTTGTGGCTCCTATATAATATAACTCTTTCTTTAGCCTTTTATCATGCAACGGTATTCTGTACACACCTGGAACTAGCCTCCTGTCTATTGGTGTTTTGTCATTTCTTAGCATTTGGAATATTGTCGTGTTT